AAGTCCACAGACATGGATTATGAGCAAGGCATACCCCTCTATATTGTGCATTGTCCCAATCCAGAGCACAAAGTATAATTTCGGTCTGCTGCCTCATTTCTCTGCTATCTGCATAAATCACTTCTGAAGGGTTTTATTGACATCAAGAAGTAAAAAGATGACAGGGGAGGCATTTCCAGCACAAAGCCTGTGATTGACAGTCTCAGCTCTGTTCCTGTGTGCTGTGGGAAGAGGGTGAGTCTCTTCCCTCCAATCAGGGCTCAGAGCTCTCCTCACTGAGATATGCACAGTATAACTTCAGCTTCCCACCCCTTGCTTTTCAGAGCTTATAGATCCTGAGTAAACTCTGTACTTTTAACAGATGTAGAGAAGAAAGACTGCAGATAAACAGGTATAACTTATGTAGGAGGATTTGTTTAATCTCTGTTTATCACCTGAGGCCAGTCACTTATATATATATATAGATATATATATATATATATATATATATATATATGTAAGGCTTTTACAAGCACTTTAAGGCTGAACCAGTGTTACGCAGCATTGCCAGGGCAATCAGAGGCCTAGCCCAAAATATAGAGCCTTTTTACTGAAGAAAGGCCACTGTAACAAAATAACTCAAAGAAACCCCTTGTAAGGAATAACTGTTGAAAAGTCAGGGAGGAAACCTGTCTGCTCCCCTAAGCTTGACTGTCACTGATTTGTTAGTGCCGGTTCACATACTGTATATGCGGATTGGATGCGGTTTGAAGATAAGACATATTGTGTGAAGACACATGCTCAGTTTGGTGTGTATTGCTAGATTGGTGTTTTTTTTTCTACGTGTAATGCATGTGATCAGCACAGGGCCAATCAGCACTGTCCAGACAGAGGGTCAGGGGTTCTGCATCCTCCTAGAACATAATGAAAACTCCTCCTACAAGTTTTAACGTGCTGTGCTGGACACTGCTAGAAGCCACAAGACTGCTCTAACTGCTGATGAGAAAAGGTATCTAGCAGTTTGTATTTACTAAAATAATTGCATTTCCATGTTGTGTGTACTGTGGGAGACCAGATAGAGTGAATGCAGGGTCCTGTATTTAGTAACACTTTAATGTTACTATTTGATGAAAAAAGTTTGCATGTTTAAACCTATAACTGAACAAATATATTGAGAACGTATACACATTTCTGGGAAAAAGAGTAACTAAATTTCCTTTCATGTATAAGAAAAATCACATTATCATTAAGCCCTGGTTCATACCGGTGCACCTTTTTATGCAATTTGACAGTTTCAAATCACATGACAAGCTGCACGCTATTGTCGGCAATGGAACTATTCAAATTGGTGTGACTCCAAGTTTGCGGTACTGCACCATTTTGAAAAAAAGGTACCTGTAATATTTTTTTGTGATTTCAGGTGCGACTTCCATAGACATCTGTGCATAAAGTCACACAGATGTCTGTCAAGTCGCACTGACATGCAGCTTTGAAATTGTGAGACTTCAAGTGCAGTCACGCGATTTCAAAGTTGGATCTAATGTGTACCAGGGCTCCATATTATTTGTTTATTATTATTATTAATAATAATAATAATAATAATAATAATAATAATTAATACTAATAATAATATACATTTTGGGTGCAGGGTGGTGGCGTTGATTGGCACTGTGGAAGTAAATAGGGGGCTGGGGTTGATCGGGTGATGCTCAGATGGCAGACTTTGCTAACTGTGGATTCCTATGATGGTAGGAACTAACTGTGGATTATCGGATCTCTTGGTTTCCCTGCGGTCAATACTATATAGAGGCTCTTTCTTTCTTTTTCTTTACAGTGGGCCTATGATTGAACTAGCGGTTATGCTTTTGGGTATGGACATGTGAGGGTGGCTCTATCCCTGATGGTGCAGTTAATCAAGGAGCTATATAAGTCAATATTAGTATATTTAAGGGCTGTTCTATAGAGCAGTGTTCTCTCCAAACTGCGGCCCTTTGTTTGCCATTATCCGGCCCTTGGGGCACTATTCCTCCCTCTGACATTAACAATGGGGCATAATTCCTGCCACTGACACCAATAATAGGGCACTATTCCTCCTAATGACACCAATAATAGGGCATTATTCCTTCCACTGACACCATTGATGGGGCACTTTTACTCCCACTGACACCAATGATGGGGCACTACTCCTCCCACTGAAACCAATGATGGGGCACTATTACTCCCACGGACACCAATGATGGGGCACTATTCCTCCCACTGACACCAATGATGGGGCACTGTTCCTCCCACTGACTCCAATTAAGGGACACTATTCTTCCCACTGATATCAGTGATGGGGCACAATTCTTCCCACTGACATCAATGATGGGGCACAATTTTTCCCACTGACATCAATGATGAGGCACTATTCCTCCCATTGACACCATTGATGGGGCACTATTAATCCCCACTGACATCAATGATGGGGCACTATTCCTCCCATTGACACCATTGATAGGGCACTATTAATCCCCCTTTGACACCAATGATGGGGTACTATTTCTCCCACTGACACCAATGATGGGTCACTATTCCTCCCACTGACACCATTGATGGGGCACTATTAATTCCCCTTTGACACCAATGATGGGGCACTATTCGTCTCACTGACACCAATGATGGGGCATTGTTATAGAGAGGACATTTTCTACTCCCATTGGCCACAGTCCGGCCCTCTAAAGTATGAGGGATAGTAAACTGGCCATTTGTTTAGAAAGTTTGGAGATCCCTGCTGTAGAGTTATCAAAATATATTTGTTTACTTATACCTCTCTTGTCTCTGCCTTATGTATTATTATGGAGCTACTTGCATGACTTGTCGTTTGGGTTTACCCAGCCTACGTTTCTATCTTGCCTGGGAAGCTATATATATTGGTTATTTATGAACACCTACTTTTTCCTTTCTATCTTGAGAAATTCGTTGTATTGAGGGCATACCTGGCAGGTTTATTCTAGCCCTAAGGTATCAATATCCAAACTCTCATAGGGTGAGTTATCACTTTGAATCTATAGTCCATTGCTTGAGGGCAAATGCCTATCACATGAGTCTATTGTTGACTGTAATATACTGTATATGTTCTTGTTTAGTTGATTTAGAGGCTTTTTAATCTTTGTATAGAGAGGCTTTTTAATCTTTGTCCATCTGTTTAGCCGTTTGGGTTTTCACCCTGGGGTGGTTCCCTTTCCCCTCTATGTGCTCCTGTGGTCTGTTGGCCCGCAACCTATTTTAACCATCCACCTTCCATGTTGACAAGTTCTGATCAGGCAAGCATAATGTATTTATCCATATTAAGTGCAATTTTATTGGTGATTTATATATTCTAGTATGTGAAATTTATATCAATTCTGGATTTTACATTTTACAGCAACCCCCACCCAACTAGTCCTGAGGAAGCAATATTCTTTGTGAAACACATTGACTTATGAGTATGAAGAACTTATGGACACTGATTTGAAGAATTGAAGCCTATAAGATGTTATTAAGCTATTGTTATGGTTCTCAAACACACAAATGAATTTGTGTTAAAGTCACAGTGCCCTTTTGAAGCTCCATCTCAGGGTTGGGAAATATTTGGTATCAGACATAAGGTGGTCTGATGGTGTTGCAGTTTTTTTGTTTTTGAAACTTGTAATTATGTATTAATAAAATATGTGATTTTATGCCAACATTGCCTCTTGTGCTGATAAAATCCACCTATTTTTGGTGACAAGTATCTTGTTCCAAATATCTTTTGTCTAGATTAGGATGTGGCATGACGAGGATCCGTATGCTATTTAATAAAAAGTATACACAATAAAATTAATAATTTTTAATAATAGTAGTAATATTGTTAATAATAATCCTACAGAACATAGCCGTGACTCTAAAGCCTAAAATTTTTGATCCTAATGTATTCCCCCTCCCCCCCCCGAGCCCTCACTTGATCCAGCTCTGTGCCTATCTGTAGCAGCTCTGTCTTCTTTCACAGGCTTTGCTGAGGCAGAGGGAGCCACTGGCAGGGCTGAGCCACGCTGTATGTGCTTATGGATGCAGGCAGTGTGGCTCAGGAGCGAGCCCGCAAGTGGTACCCCATAGGAAGTGGCTTTCTGTGGGGTACCACAGAGAAGAGGTTGAGCCAAGAATGCAGGCAGGGGACCCAAGAAGAGGAGGTTTGGGTCTGCTCTGTGCAACACTGTTGCACAGAATAGGAGTATAACATGTTGGATATTTTTTTTAAATGGTTTTACAATTACTTTAATGACAATTTTGCAATATTTTTCAAGTTAAAGAAATTACTTTAACATAACAGCTATTTAAAGCCTCCTGTAAAATCCTACTGTGTGCTCATTGCACATATATGTAACATAGAACATAAATGGGGTCTGCCCTTCTCCAATGTTCCTTGCTACACAAAAGTGTTCTTTATGACTTTATATTGTTGCCATGGCTACAAGATGGAAAGGATGGTCATTAAACATCATGTTCCCTGAGTCATCGCGTCCAGTAACCATGGCAATCTTAACAGCAGGAAAGGATTCAGCTTTATAGACAACAGCAAATGTTGCTACTGAAATCTAAAGGATAAAAGAAAACAGAACAATATCTAGAGGAGCCTCCTGCAAGGCGCAAAGAAAAAAGGAAGGTATAGGAAAAAAGAAAAGGACATAATAGATGTAAGGAGTCACTGGGATTCTGTACATCTACATACAGGATGAATCTACAGCTAGAGTGCTCCTATATAATGAGAACACAATTTAATAATAATAATTATTATTATTATTATTACCTTTTTTAACCACTTCCCGTCTGGCACATGTACATAAACGGCCAGACGGGAGCAGTGCAGGAGCGGGTTGCCGTTCATAAACGACGCCCACATCTTCAGGCTGTGCGCGCTCCCTGGGAGCGCGCGGCACCACGATCCGGTGCACGATGTGTCCTCCTGACACAATGGAACACCAGTTGCTGTACGGGACCTCTGTGTGAGGCCAGTCAGTGATCACATGAATAGTAGTAAGCAAGATGTCACTTCTGACATCATTGCTTACTACGTGTGAAATCTGTGAATGATCACAGAGGTCACATAGTACAAGGCTATTCACAACAGCCTTGTACCATGTGAGTAGCTATGACCAATCACAGCTCACACAGTATTTCTCAATGGCTGCAAGAATTCAGCCAGAGAGAAGGAGAAATGATTGATTTTACAGCCTTTATGGGTGTAAAAGCAATCAGTGTAAAAAAAAAACAAAATCTTCATCACCCACCACAAGTAGTACAGTGTCACTATGGTGACACTGTACTGCTAGGGTGACAGTATGTTAAAATAAAAAACAAAAACATAAATAATATAAAAAAAATAAAAATGTGATTTTTGATTTTGAAAAATTATAATTTTTGGTTATAAACTAATTTGGGTTATTATTTTTTTTACTAAAAAAGATAACCAAATACATTTTGGCCAAGATTTAGGAAGAAAGATTATTTATTTGCAAAATTTTATAACAAAAACACTGTTTTTCAAAATTTTTAAAATTTATAGCAAAAAAAAAAAATCAAAATTCCAGTGCTGAATAAATACCACCAAAATAAAGTTTTATCTGTCTCCAAAAAATGCTAAAAAATTCATATGGGTACAGTGTTGCATGGACCGTGCAATTGTCATTTAAAGTGTGATAGCACTGAAAGCTGAAAATTGGCCTGGACAGAAAGGGGGTAAAAGTGTCTGAACTTGATGTAGTCAATAAAGGGATGACCTATTGAATATAACCCATGAACAGTAATGTTCTCATCTTATTACCAACATGCACCTACAGTATTAAAGGGAAAGTGCATTGTGGTTTCAGTGAACACATGTTTTAGGTCATTATTGCAGTGTTTACTTTTAAAGGATAACAGCATTATTAGTGCTCATTCACATCAGCCTGTATGCATTATGAGTCATAAAACGTATATGCACTGATGGGAGTTGAGAAGCATGGTGCAGAGCTTTGTTACAAAACATTGCACTGTTTAACTTTTTTCAAACTTTATTGAAAGTGACAAACTTTATGCACCGTGTTGCAATGCACTGTGCTAACAAGTGATGATGTGCATCATGCTGAATAAAAAAAAATATATGCTGCATTTTTACATATGCACACTACTGCAAGTGCATGCTGGGAACAGATCTGCATCTTGCATTGAGTCTGCGTTGATCAATACAGAGTAATGTTGTTCAATGCGCCTGGTGTGAACAAGCTCTTAGGATAGGTTCACACTTGTGGGCTGGTTGCGGGTTCGGGAATCACAGCTGTTCTTGCACCAACAATCACACGCAACCAAATCACACTGCTGCAGCAGGGTGCGCGTGGCTGCCATTCGTTCTGAATGGCACCCCCACGCATCTTAGCTCACATTGTGATTTTGGGTGTGGGAACCGCAGTGAAACCACATTTTCAAAAAGATCATGCAGTTTCCCTGCAGCTGCATTTTCAAAAATGTGCATGCATCTTTTTTTGTGCGGAAATGCGGGTACAGCAGCCCATTCAAATGAATGGGCTACCATGCCCCAGAAAACATGGGTGTTATGGGTGCCATTTACTTTGAATGACACACTAAAGCACTTCACCTCCAGTGACCAAACTGGCGGCCCTCCAGCTGTTGCGAAACTACAAGTCCCATCATTGACACCAATTATGAGGTACTATTCCTCCTATTAAATCCAACAATTCCTTTCATTGATACTAAACATGGGGCACTATTTCTCCAATCAATACCAATGGTGGGGCACTATTCCTCCCATTGACACCAATGATGGGGCACTATTCCTCCCATTGACATCAATGATGGGGCACTATTCCTCCTATTGACAAAAATGATGGGGCACTATTTCCTCATTGATACCAATGACGGGGCACTATATCTCCCATTGATACCAATGAGGGAGCACTATTTTTCCCGTTGGTACTAACAATGGGGCAATATTCCTCCTATTGACACCAATGATGGGGCACTATTCCTCCTAGTGACAACAATAATGGGGAACTATTTCCCCCACTGATACCTACGATGGGGCACTATTTCTCCCATTGATACCAATGATGGAGCACTATTTTTCCCATTGATACCAATGATGGAGCACTATTTTTCCCATTGATACTAACAATCGGGCACTATTTCTCCCATTGACACCAATGATAGGGCACTATTCCTCCTATTGACAACAATAATGGGGCACTATTTCCCCCCATTGATACCAACGATGGGGCACTATTTCTCCCATTGATACCAATGATGGAGCACTATTTTTCCCATTGATACTAACAATCGGGCACTATTTCTCCCATTGACACCAATGATGGGGCACTATTTCTCCAATTGATACTAATGATGGGGCAATATTCCTCCTACTGCCAAAAATGGGGCACTATTTCCCATTGATACCAACGATGGGGCACTATATCTCCCATTGATACCAATGAGGGAGCACTATTTTTCCCATTGATACTAACAATGGGGCAATATTCCTCCTATTGACAGCAATGATGGGGCACTATTCCTCCTATTGACAACAATGATGGGGCACTATTCCTCCTATTGACAACAATAATGGGGCACTATTTCCCCCATTGATACCTACGATGGGGCACTATTTCCCCCATTGATACCTACGATGGGGCACTATTTCTCCCATTGATACCAATGATGGAGCACTTTTTTCCCATTGATACTAACAATCGGGCACTATTTCTCCCATTGACACCAATGATGGGGCACTATTCCTCCTATTGACAACAATAATGGGGCACTATTTCCCCCATTGATACCAACAATGGGGCACTATTTCTCCCATTGATACCAATGATGGAGCACTATTTTTCCCATTGATACTAACAATCGGGCACTATTTCTCCCATTGACACCAATGATGGGGCTCTATTTTTCCCATTGACACCAATGATGGGGCACTATTTCTCCTATTGAAACCAAAGATGAGGCACTATTTATCCCCCTAATACCAATGAAGGGGAATTATTTACTCCCACTGATGCCAGGACATTTTCTTCTCTCACTGGCCACCGTCCTCCCCCCTAAAGTTTGAAGGACAGTAAACCCTTTGTTTAGAAAGTTTGGAGATCCCTGCCTAAAGGATAAGTTCACCTTCCGTAACATGTTACATGTTACAATCAGATTGGCCTTGGGTCCTCCCCGCTTTGACAGGTAGCAGGGGATCTTCTCTCACCTCGCTAGCTGTTAATTTTTTTAAAAAGAAGCTGTGCGGAGCTCCGATCACCCAGCCACGTCACTCATTCACTGTCCTCTGTGAATGAGAGACTACAAGTCCCAACAGCCTTAGCAGCTGTCAACTTGTAGTCCTCAACAGGGGCGGCTGACCATTTGGAAACTCGGGCACTGCCTGAGGGCCCAGGGTCAGTAGGGGGCCCCATGAGATGCCCCTGGTACCTTTTTCATAGGCTTTTTTTTTGAGTTTAGGCAAGGACACAGGGGCCCCATGATCCCCTATTGCCCGGGGGCCCCATGAGTTGTCAGTACGCCCCTGGTCCTCAGCGAACTACCACAGCACTGTGGAGCGCCATGGTAGTTCAATCATTCTTCCTGTCAGTATATCTGCTTGCTCGTACATCCTATACAGGCAAGCAGATATTCTGACAGATCTGCAGGATACCTGCATGGCGCCAGCAATCTGCAGATCACTGGTGCAATGCTTTACAGGCTCTTGCAGACAAAAATAATAAATGCACATTTTTTTACCTGCAAAGAAATGTGCATTTATAATTTTTTACTAAAAGGTGAACTTATTCTTTAACACATTCCACTGGACTGTAGAGGTGGGAAAGGAGGAGTCTTAAAGTAATTTTTGATATGCTTTTTTACAGTTTGTATACAGCATTATAATCACTATATAATCTAATCACTATAAAACACTCAAATATTCCATCTTTAATAGAGTCTTAGAATTTTATTTTAATAAGTAGCCCATCAAAATGAAAATGCAGCTTTGTTTGAAATACTCACCTCTTCTCTTGTGTTGTCAAATGCTGAATAAGGCACAGAACACATCAGAAAAATGGGAGAAAAAAATAATAATAATAATAAAAATATGTGTGGGTGGGGGGCATTAGGGGGATGAGCAGGGGAAGGCACACAACCACAAAGGCTTGTTTTAAGTAAGACATGCATTGTTAGAAGAAGTATCAAAGCACAACCATTGTGTAGCACTGCAAAAGTGCAGCATGTGTATGTTATGAGCAAATATGACTACACCATGTACAGTACATATAAAATTATAAGCTATCCATAAAAACAGTTTGTAAAATAATAACACAATTTTGATACGGTTATTTATATCATGCTCATCTCATTTACATGTTTACCCCCAATAATGTCTTTCCTATAAATTTACTGTATATCCAAATATCTGTACAGATGACCTTTGTCAGAGTGCGATACTGTATTTCGTCAGCAAGATAATGACAAAATACATTGCATTGACATGAACAGTCGCTGTGTAACATCAAATTGAACCAGATGGTGCCTAATGTATTTACTGTATATTTATATATGTATATATTTGTTTAATTATTGCATGGGCTAAATTTATACTTAATTAAACTACATTACATAATTACCATGAGAATGGTGACACTCAGCCGTACTGGTTATTTTATGGTAATTTTATGAGCTGCAGGAGAACAGTTGCCGTATGTTGATTATTTTTATGTACATCGGACAACGACTTGAAGTGTAATAACTGCAGCCAAGTCATATAAACACCATCTTCACTTTTGCAGTTTGTGTCTAGCTAGCAGGAACAATTTCATATTTGACAAGTCATCTTGCTTTATATATCCCTTTGATTGTTGTTTCCATAGTGATATAAAATCATGCTGGTAGCTTAGTTACCATTGACCACAAGGCATCAGTTTAAAGGAACTTACTGATAGTACAGTAGATGGAAAGCTTTGTCTTCACGCACAGAAGCTTCAGTTATTTTAACTCCTTTGTGTCTATATCAGATAGCAACCTGAGCAGTTTACAGATCACTTAGAAGAAAAAAACGTGTACAGAGTATTTTAAGGTTCTGTTCGGATGTGTGAGCATTGCATATAAAGTG